CTATGTGTGAAGGAATGCAGCGTAATTAGTGGAGCTCTCCAAGATGGCGCGGGCTCTTAAGCTAAAACAAAGGTAAGCAGCTGCATGGTGGATTTGAGCAGCAGATTGAGCAGAAATGTCCCCAGCTTCTCACAGGCAGTTTGCAAAATGTGTGCACTGATAAAGACTGTCGAGCAGATAGTCCAGTTCATATATAAACACTTTTACAAACTTCTCATACTTTCCATCACAACTTCTCCCAGTCCTGCAACCGATCACAACCTCTTTCTAAGCTCTTCACAGTAAAACAGGATACTGCTCTCTGTGTGGCGATTGTGGCTCAAAGAGCTGGCAGTTCGTCTTGTAACCGGAAGGTTGCCGGTCGTTGTGTCCTTGGGCAAGACACTTCACCTACTGGTGATGGCCAGAGGGGCCGATGGCGCGATATGGCAGCCTTGCTTCTGTCAGTCTGGCCCAGGGCAGCTGTGGCTACAACTGTAGCTGCCTCCACCAGTGTGTGAATGAATAGTGGAATTGTACAGCGCTTTGAGGGCCCCGAAAAAAAATTATTATTACTGCTCTTTTAAACTTATTAAACACATTGTACTCCTTTTAAAATAATTTTTTAAAGAATTCTAAATACTAAATGCCATTATTATTTTTACATTTTAACATGGATTTCAACACATTTAAAGAAAACTTAAAAAAAAAAATCTGTTTTAACCTGGTTACAAAAACATAAGTTGATTAATTGAAATAAATAACCCAGTCAAAGAAAAACTGAAAAAATGTAAATAACAAAAAAAAAAATAAATACCCACATGTACTGAGTAAATCAACAGGCTAACGCATAATAAACTTTGTTTGTTTATAAATAATCTCTATTCATATGCATCATGTTGATAACAAAAAATGTTGATATTTGTAAAAAAATAAAACAAAAAAAATGTATTTATCATGTAAATTTCTTGCACCTGTCATAGATGTCCAAATGACATCTAAAAAAAAAAAAGGACCCAAAGTCCAAGTTGGGTCATGGTTGGAGATCCAAATTGTGGACCAAGTTTGCACATTGTATACATGTCCAGGATTGGTCATGGACCGATGGACCTGCACATCCGACGTCCAATCTTTACTGGGATATTATAAATGTTGTATACTGTGCAGTGCAGTGAGGACTGCTCAGACACTGGAGAAACGAAACAGCGGCTCCACATGGGACAACATAGAAGAGCCACCTTGACAGGACGAGACAGCTGTACAGCTGCATCTAAAGCTCAAAGATCACTCATTCAAGGGTGACAATGTTCACATTTTGGACAGAAGACAGATGGTTTGAAAGAGGCTATCTATATCCACTGTGAACGACCATCTTTGAACATTTTTGAGAGGGTGACATCAACTGTCTGCCAGCTACAATGCAGTTTTAAGATCCCTTTTCAGGCGCATTAACCCCCACTCATATCTTGTGTCAGGTGATCACAATAGGTCACATGATAGGGTGAGGCAAGGTCTCACAGAGGTTTCACCCAAAACCTCTGCTGATAATTGTGCCATTTTTTCACACCTTGGCTAATATGATGAGTCACATGATCAATATTGGGTCAATGATCAGGACACGACAGGACAACTCCCACTAGGGTTTAAATACCTAGGAATCCACCATTTGGTTTTAGAACTAAAGCAGCTTCTTAAATGAGAGATGAAGCATCTTCAAGAAACTTAAAGAAGTTCAGTCACTTTCTTTTCAAGCTCCTTAGACTACCATGATCTGGACGATTGTAAACCTAGACCGACACATATTATGTTGTAAAAGAATATGTGTTTGTAAATCGACGTATTGTTTTACTCACATTTTTTCACAGTTTTGTTATTTCATTTGTTTCATAAGAGTAGAAAGAGACAAACATGTATGTTTCTTTCCTCAGCATTTTTGCCAAGACATATTTTATAGTCCACAAAAGTGGACTACAAAGTGAGGCTGGAGAACCAAAATGCACAGTGGGCTTTGCTGGGGCTGTTAAAATGCAACAAAGGAAGAAGAGCTGCTTAACCTGTGCTCTATCACTCTGTGAGCCTACAATCTTGTGGTACTGGAGGGCAAATGTGTGCATTTACTCTTTACTTTATTCCCCACTCCTAACAAAATGTGCTTTCACACTTCAGCACCAGCTTCACAGTGTGACAGTGCCCTCTCGTCCTCACCACCACTCGGACAAATTACACTGCCATCGTGAATCACACTTCCCCACCTTCCCATCCCCTGTAAAAAACAAGAAAAACACCCATTACCCTCTTCTGTTCTGTGTTGCTCTGCACCCCATCGTTCCACCTCATTCTACCCCTTAGACCTCTCTTCTGTATGTCATTGCCCCCTTTCCTGCTATTTCAAAACAAATCTCCCCTCTCACAGCATAATTCACTGGGCTGAGCTCGACCAACTGGCCTCCTCAGCTGACCTCCACCAAATACCCGTCTGCTTGTTTCCCCAAATAACCCCAGCCAGCATTCAGCCAAGGGCCCATGGAAAGAAAAGAGGGGAGACTCAGGAGGATTTAAACCGATGGCTTCTCTGTATGCCCGAGTTAATGCTTAATACCACCTAATCTGGTCATCAAATATCCCCGCTGTCACAACTGGAAATCTGCTCTTTTTATCCCTCTCTCCAGACTACCAGTTGGGCAGCAAAGGATGTCTTCCCAGTCTCCCCAAGCAGCACTGGACAGATATCAAGGGATAAAATAAATAGAGGGGGAAAAACATTAATCTAAAGAAGAAAGAGAAACAGGAGGTAGTCTGTGGTGGTCATTTATGTCTTTCCTGAAAGAAAGAACAGAATCTAGGCTTTTATAGAATATTTGATTGTTAAACTTAAGTTGAATCAAAACACCAGCATTTTCCACACACCAACTTTACACTGATTGGCCATTGAAGTTGATACAGTAACTCAGTAAATAAAAGTCTATACAAAAATAAAAAGCACTGACGCATTTGTTTTCATACAAAATGTGAGCACAGACTAAAAACAGCATTTATTTTTGCCAGAAGTGAGCATCTTCACTGTGTGTGATGAGTATCATTTCCACAGCTTCCTCCTCCATGTGCCTTAGTGTCAGACAGGCTGACTGTGACCGCCATCTGTCAGCAGACTCTCTGTTAGACAATAAGTGGGCAGGAGATTCTATGAGCCCAGACACAGTAGGGCACGGGGCTTGCACTGCCCATTCAAAAGTATCTTATGGGAGGACAGATGGTGCTGAGTTTTCTCCTTGTACATCTTTTCTTCCACCATTCCTGTGCTGCCTTCTCAGAAAGCTAAAACAACCCCCCTCACAAGAATTGTAAATTCTTGTGGATTTTAAAGTTTGCAGAGGTACCAATATAACGCAAGACATTTTTGTATTTCCATTTTTTATGAAAACAGTAATCATAGAAGCTATAAATTGGCTCTAATATATTGACTTATATTGAAATATAGTGCACCATTAAGCAACTTAGAATTTGCACCATGTCCCAGGAAGTACTAGGAGATGGTGCAAGAAACAAATTCCTTTTGGGGAGACAAGAAGAAGGACCAACTTATCAGTCTTTTTTTAAGTGTTGAAAGAACAGCAACTAAACACGGAGGAATTGATTCTAGGGTTCAGCAAATAACTTGAAAGACAACATTGCCTGCAGTGGATGGTCATGTAAAATGATTAAAGTACCAGAAGAGCTACTAAATGCTACTAACAGCAAAACCAAATGAAAATCAATAAACAAAGACTGGCTGTGAGTTACTTCTTTTTAATGACCTTGCTAATATTTTAAGACAATATTTAATTTTTACTAATATTTATAGCATAGCCACATCTAACCCATCTTAAGCATTGGGAGCAGTGGGCCAGCACTGTGCAATGCCTATGGACCAACTCCACTTGTAAGCCTGCCCCTTTGTCAAAATAATGTTGAAAAAATAAGTTTTCATATTTTCTTCTGGTAGAAAAAATTAGACTTCTTGAAGGAAAGGAGCACAAGCATGATTAGAACATGCAAACTCAACACAGAAGGATCCTACACAGGTCTGGACACGCTTACTATGAGGCAACAGTGCACCAACAGTGTGCCATCAGATCACCATCTCACTGCATTTTAAATGCAGTTGTAAAATCCCACCTCAAAAGTTCATAGACTTTGAGATATTACAACAAGCTTTTAAAACTGCCTGCCTGGAACTTCTAGACTCCCTGAGTTCCTCTGGTGGAAAGACGAACATAGATCTGCCAACTAACTTGCCAGTTAAGTATAGTTTTTGCGTGCGAGTAGACTGAAACAGTTAAACCTAAACATTTATGATGATTGCACGTTCCCATGGCATCAGTCAAAAAATAAATCAATAAATAATACATAAATATAAATTGGAAACGTCTCCATAGCCACAGAAACTAACAGCTACAAAACTAAAAGTCACATCTCTGATATAAACATCATATTTTATATACATGAGTTTTATGAATATATGTATATATATA